GAGGTCGAGCTCAGTGAAGACGATGTCCATGGCCAGTGGAAACTGAATGGAGAACTCCTCAGTCCATCCGCTGTATGTCAACTGCATCTCAGCAGATATCTGTGGTTTCATTCTTTTACTTAAATCTGGATGTCGATACGCTAGTAGAGATAAACCGTAGTTGTGTCCTCATCGCGTTTCTTTCACTCTCACAATTTTGCTGAAAACGTTTGTTGGCCATCTGCAGGATGTTGAAATCGTGGAGGACGGTGCCAAACATACTCTGGTCTTGTACAACTGCAGAGTACCTCAGACCGGCGAGGTCATGTTCACCGCTGCTAACGCCAAATGCTCTGCTAACCTGAAAGTCAAGGGTGAGCTTTCCACCTTCCTTTTTTCGTGTCAGCGTGGAAAGTCTCTGCCCACTCAAATATTTTGATTTTTTATTAACTATCTGTCTGAATCAACAGAGGTCCCCGTGTCATTCATTACACCTCTGGCTGATGTACATGTGTATGAAAAGGATGAAGCAAAATTTGAAGTAGAAATTTCCCGGGAGCCCAAAAGCTTCCGTTGGCTGAAGGGATCTCAAGAGTTGTCAACGGATGACAAGTTTGAACTCCACGTGGAAGGAAAGAGACACAGTCTTTTTGTCAAATCTGCCAGATATGAAGATGAAGGTAAATACATGTTCGAGGCTGAAGATAAGAGGACATCCGGGAAGTTGATTATCAAAGGTAAACAAAGTTGGATCTCTTTGGTGTTTTTAGGAGAAGATTTGTTTGGTGGGTGACTGAATTCTTCTTTTGCGTGCTCGCTAAACTCTGCATGCCAAAAGCCTTTTAACGACAAACGCCACATTTCTTGTCAGGTATTCGCCTTGCATTTATCAAGCCAATAAGAGATGTGACTGTAAAGGAACGTGAAACTGCAGAGTTCAGCGTCGAACTCTCTCATGAGAAAATCCCAGTCGTCTGGTACAAAAACGACGTCCGTTTGCACCCCAGCAAAGTGGTGCACATGTCCGAGGAAGGGAAAGTGCACACGCTGGCCTTCAAGGAGGTCACGATTGATGACACGTCTATGATCAAAGTGGAGGCGATGGGCAAGACTTCAGAGGCCATGCTCACCGTTCTCGGTTAGTATCGTACCGCAGAGGGATGCATTCAGACTTCCATAAAGAGTGCACATCTTCCCGTTACTGTATTAAAATGGAATTAACTTGGGTGAATGTATACGCTTCCATGACTTTAGCCAGTTAATGTTTTCAGCTGATATAATCCTGGTGTCTGCCCACAGAGGGCGACCTGTACTTCACAGTGAAGCTCCAGAATTACACCGCTGTTGAGAAAGATGAGGTGGTTTTGTCCTGCGAGTTGAGTAAGGCCTCCGCTGAGGTCAAATGGTTCAAAGATGGCGAAGAAATCTTTCCCTCCAAGAACATTTCCTTCAAATCTGATGGCAAGAAACATATGTTGGTCATCAAGAAGGCAGCAAAGGGCAACATGGGCGCTTACAGCTGCGACTGTGGAACCGACAAAACCACTGCTGACCTTAACATCGAAGGTAATACCTGTGGTGATCCAGATCAGACTCCACCGGGACTGCAGAGACAGGCCCCGCCCACCAGCATTCACCAAACCCCGCCTCCTGTTTTCTCCATTTGTCCTGCACTACTGCAGCTTCCACTTTTATTCTAAATGCTTGTAAAAGTTATTATAATACTTGAGAATAATTCAACCTTGCACATCTTACAGTGAATCGTATTATAGATCTGTAGATGTGGATATACTTTGAAATGTTTTATGGGGTTAATTATTCTCAAGCGTTCCTCAACTTCTGTTTTTACACAAATTGTAAGCTTCTGATTTTAACTTGTCCTATGTTTAGTCCATCTGTTACACTGTATCTGACAATGTGGAACTCTTTTCACAGATGTCGTCTAATACGTTTCCCTTCGCTTCCCTTCGCTTGTAAGTTTCGCTAACATATTTTAACAAACTTTACAGAACGTGACATCAAGGTCGTCCGCCCACTGTACAGCGTGGAAGTTACAGAGACCGAGACGGCGAAGTTTGAGACAGAGATTTCTGAGGACGACCTTCATGCCACCTGGAAACTGAAGGGCGAGACACTTCATCCATCCGCTGTAAGATTTTACTATAAAATATAATTTCAACACATTTGTTGGAAATTCCATGAAAATGTTTTGAATTTCACATTCATCTCTTGTTGGTTTGCACATTGTTTGTTCTCAGAATGTGGAGATCAAGGAGGAAGGAAGCCGGCACTTGTTGACCCTCTATAACTGCAAAATGGACATGGCTGGAAGTGTTGACTTTGCAGCAGCGAATGCCAAATCCTCAGCTCAGCTCAGGGTCAAAGGTGACTGACACAAGTCTGAAGTCAATCACAGGGATTTTCGAAATGTCTGTGATTATATTTGCTAGTAAGGCTACGTTCACTCTGCAGGTCTTGATGCTCAATTCCGATTTTTTGATCAAATC